GAACGCGCTATTATCCTTTCCGGGGAGTAACGCGTTCACCACCACACCATGCGGGTCCTTCGCTTCGCCTGTCTCTCAGCTATTTCTATCGATCTTTGCCACAGCAATCACCAGTCAGCGGGATTGATCTGGGGCGGCCAAATCGGCATAGAACCCAGTTAAGATGCGGCTGTAGTTGAAATCACAATGTTATACCTTTTTATTTTCTGCCTATTGTAATTTCACGGCAGGGTACTAAGCGAAATACAACCACAACACAGCGGTCCAGAGTTTTGCAAATATCTCAGCAACGNAACAACAGTGTTTAAGAGCGTTGTTTTACAGTCTTACGTGTTTTATGTATATTTTGGGGTATTCTGAAAGCTTCACATGTTACTAATCCGACGGGTACTTCGTTCAAAATATAAGTTGGATCGAAATGACCAAAGTCCAGTGTGACGAGTTTCTACCTCGATGACTTCCCAGAATCAATTTTCTCGCTGTGGCAGGCTCTTAGAAGCCTAACGTTAGCTGTTTTTAGTCTTCCGAATTCTGCTTGCAAAACAAAACTTGTGAATGTGAGCTTCGAGAAGTCAGAAATCCTACGAGGTTAGTGACCGTCATCCCAGCTCAAGACCGGATTCTTTCTGACGGTGTCGTACAATTCAAAACTCCAGGAGAGTTTTCGCCTATCCTGAATCAGCTATGCTCTTTATTCGTTCTATGATTATATTTATGGTTACACTTTATTGATGCGCGTGGATCTCTACTTGGCTTTAGATTTACTAATTTTTCCGCTGAAGGGTACACTGTTTTCTTCAAGTCTCCTGAACATTTCAAGAGTTTGATGTTTCCCTTGGAACTGATCTGAATGCTGTTCGCCTTCACCGGATAGATGACGATTATGGCGATGGAAAAAGACAGTCAAGTACATGTAATTGATGGTGGTAACTGGACGAATTTAGTGCTCGGTGGTGGACCAAGTAATACGGAATCGTCTCCTCTATGAGTTTCGAGCAGTTCTCATATATTGTTCTCTTAATCGCTAAGAAGTTCAATTTCTACAATAAACATTGAAGTGTATGAAGAAATAGTGTTAAAGTGACGGATTTGTCAGTTGGTTTGTAGAATACGCTGTGTTCAGAAGAAAGCAGATTAATTTCTTGTTCTGGAGATTTAAAAGAAAAATCAAAAATGTCGAAAAAACACACACCAGTATTCGAGCTGTAGGATTTTTAGCTCATTAATACCTGGAGATGGTAATCATTCTCTCCCCACCTAATCAGGTACTAGAAGATTCGAGAGGCGATGAATCCTGCTTGAATGCCTCAACATCAGTAATGTGATCATCTAGGCGAAATAACCACCGTTAGGATCATATTGAAGATCCAGGTAGGGTCTGTTATGTTTCTCCTTTGGTAAGAGTAATGGCGCCTCTTCTTGAGTCGAATCCGTTTCAGTTTTTCACATTAGTTTACAAATATCGTGAACAAAAATGTTAACTTTGACCCAGTTCGTGCTTGTTGTGGTGAGTAATAGCTCTCCACTTTATTTTTACAAGGGACCTGTTTGTTTTCGATCGCATGGTACGTCCTATATCATAGCACTGCAGACATTTTCGACATTTTTCACCCAATACATCGACTATGACGTTCTTTCTGATGACATAAATGTGACCAGCGTGGGTGCTAAAATAACGGGAAAACGAAGCTTCACTGTATTTTACCGTCTGCTCTTAAAATTTGATATTTTTTCACACGAACCATTCTATTATATCACATTTATGGGAGGAATTAGATTTAAACCTCGCAAGAAGGGCTTAGAATCGGCCATGACATTGGTCAATAAGTTGCTCTGTTTTTAATGGGCTAATACGAGTTTGTTAAAGTAGAATTTCCTACACAATGATCAACGTTTAACGGATTTTATCTTATTTGGAGCATAGGAAAGATCATGTTATCATTTAGCGCAGTAGTTCGAATTCATTACTTGGATACTTGGGTAGATACCTGCATGACCCGTATTCACTGGTTATGTGACCTACAGCATAATTTCCTCTTTTTTCGGTGTTTTCTAGTTTCAGCCATTGTAGTTTCCAGGAGTGCTAAGGTCAGCCTGGCCAAAGTCCGCACCTTTAAAATCAATATTTTCATTAATTCTTACAAATATCGTCCCTCATTTAATATGAACTCTGCTCGAGTAGTCGCACTTCGATACTAAAAGCTGCTTTAAACACAGAGGAGCGTTCGCATTTGTGGATTAAGTGACTTACTGCTAACAACAGCAATTTTTTCAGTGGTAAGGAATCGAAGGTTCTTTAGGACGCTGTGAATAGGAATTGCTCAGTTTATCTCTATCCTTTTGCGCTTTCCTCAATACTCGTGGCGACCACTTTTTGGATTTCACGTGTCGTTAAAACAACATATTATTTATTCCAGTGCTACATGGAGGAAGGCAAACAAGTTGAAAGAAGCGCTGAGATTTGCACAATATGTGAAGACAATCTTACAAGTAAACGAGAAAAAGTTAGTGTCATCAGTGAGTGGAACGTAAGGTCAGCTTCATATCGTGTAATTAAGGCTCATCAAGCGTTTTTTATACTAAAAAATAACAACCCTTGAGTCTCTTGAAACCCTAATCAGCGCCATGTGATGACCTAGTTAGTTGGCTTGGTGCTACGACTACTTCCTATGCTTACCTATGTCATCTGTGAAGCCCTTCCTACACTTTGACGATTATAGCCATACCCTTTTTGATACTTCGAGGATGGGTCAGATTTCTTACTGTTGCTAGCATACTGTTTATATTTTCGTTTTAAAAACTTGACAACCTTTTTCGTCGTCTTGTTTTTTCATCGACTACTTTGAGCACACGTTCTTTCAGATCTCTATACTCTCAGATCTTCTCTATATGGGCTTAACATAGCTTTCCTTTTGATTACTTATTATGCCACCTTATCCTATTTTCCTCTGTGGATAAAACTTTTCTATATTAGTTACAGAACCGAGATTGTATTTGCTTCAACAATAGCTTTCCATCTCCTTCACACCATAGGATGCAGCAACTTTATGCAACATTTTTGCGAAACAGCACTTGTGGGTTGTACCGCTATCGTTTTATCCCTAAAACTTTTGTTCTACTACTTTTATTTCATTATTAATTAGCGTTTCCATTTTTAAGTACGGTTCATTGAGTTATTATTAACAAGATCAATTTTTTCCTCTTCTGATTCCTGGACCACACGCTGGGTTCAGAAATTTCAATAATGAATAGGCATACTAAGACGGTGAAAGCAAAAGTAATTTCATATAAGTCAAAATGAGCTTCCTCGACAAGCATGCATGAAAAGCAAACTCAAGCGCTGGCTTCGTGTGTGATACCCTCATGGGGCTCAAAACCCAGCAATGTCCATGCAGCTGCGCTTCAAATGCTGAAACGACAAGAAAGAAGCACTGCAGTAACAATTTAGGCGGCTACTTTTATTTGCTAAGATCTCTTCTCAACCAAGGCTATTTGAATAGCTTCAAGTATTTTCTCGTTACAACGTTTTTCATCATCGCCGTCAGCTTCTACACTCGAGACTTTCCTTTGCAGCTCAGTGAACCTCATATCAGTCGTGTCACCGTCTGGAAACTTTTTTTCCAAAGCTCCTCCAATGTCCTCTATATCATGCCATTTCATATTTCCTGCATCTCCTTAATTAACTAATCTGGTGCTCATGGAGAAACTTGAACTCCAAAGGTTCTAAGACCCACGTCGCTGAGTTTACCGATTCCGACATACGAGTTTTTTTTTTCTAGTTTTCCTCTATGTTATTATGTTAACTTCCATGTCTGCTGAGTAAGGAACTTCAGAATACTGAGGCGGCCTTAAATATCTCACTGAATGCTCCTTACCGTTTGCTTCTAAATGATCCGGGGCATTGCGTTTTGTTTTTCTGCTGGTTTGATCACTATAGGGATTTCTACTGCCCTCTCCTTTACTTATTCTGTTCCACCGGGCTGCCACTGCGACACACACACGGAATCGATCCCTGCGCCCATGGCCCACTAAGCCTTCCATCCCTCCGGGGTCGGCGAATTGGTACCAGACTTGTCTAGGGGGATAGCAGCACTGGCTTGATACATCGGTAGGCCACCACGAGTCATTGTAAAGGCCAGATAGGCATTCAATCACCTCCAACGATACTTAATGAAGTCGAATGCATGGCGCATCCCTTAGAGATTGATCAACATCGAGAGCTTTATCCTTGAGAGCTTTGTTTTATCACCGGACTGTACATGGTAACTTGATATATGGATTAATGTGTAATTAACTGCAACAAGCTCATAAGATGTGGGCTGCTTCGCTGAATAAATTGTTGGTACAAGGCCAGAGTGATACAAAAGAGAACTTGACCTCGATTCAAGATGGCAATAAAGTTATCAGCTGTGTAACCTATTCTACAATAGGCGTCCAAAGACATAGACCTGAGTTGCTTTCTTGGGATTTCATAATAAAACTTGAACTTCTTGTGTGTAGCAAACTGCTTACCAACATCCGATGACCTTTTGGACCCAAGAATATCGTGTCGGTCTGGAGGTTATTTCTTTCTATTTACTGGATCATTTCCACTGCCCATTAAATTTATACTAAGCCTACTACTGATTCTATACTTCCTACTCAACATTTTGCTTACTTTCCCACCAGTGCTTCACCACGCAATGCAGTAGTTTGTGCGCTCCAACTCCAAACAATGCAATGGTTGAACAGGAAGGGCGCTTCTAACCGCCAACATAAATTTTTCACGTCCAACTTATTGTTGGTTTTAAGGCGGTGTTGAGTTTTTAAGGTAGTATAACCGTTCCGATGACCTACTCGGTTTCATATTTTCAGACTGCAGTTTTAACCGTCTTCATGTACCTTGTTTGAAGCAAAGATGCCACTTGGGTTAATGTAGATCGTGGTTATACCGCTTAGAAGCTGTCACTGATTTTACGAAAGTTTTGCAAATGATGTTTAATATTTTGAGGTGTCAAGAAATGTCCTCCGCACCGAAGAAGTCCGATGAGGCGGTTGACGAGGATGCCACTGAAATGCGATTTCCTAAAGGTAGTCGTGCCATTGGTAGTATTTCCTCTTCGTTTATAAAATTAGATGATTGTTAACTTTTTTTTGCTTACTTCCTTTTAAGTTTTTTTACGGTAAGGTATTGTGAATGACATAAGCACAATGATGCTGAGATATTTGTGAAACTCCGGACCTCAAAGTCTGGGGGTGGGGAATGAACGGGCTATTACCTTTTCCAGGGGATAACGCGTTCATTACCACACCGTGCGGATCTTTCGTTTCACCTGTGTCTCAGCTAGTTTCCTATCGACCAGTGCCATTAGCAATAACCCGTCAACGGGATTGATCTGGGGAACCCACATCGGTATTGGTTGTGATTTTCAACTGCAGCCTCAGCTTAACTGGGTTCGCTGCAGATTTGGGTTCGCGAGATCAATCCCGTTGAGGGGTTATTTCTGATGGAACTGATCGATAGAAAACTAATTGAGAGAAAAGCGAGGACCCGCATGCTGTGGTGGCAATGCGCTCGTTTCCCACCTCAGACACCTGCGACCCGGAGTTTTGCAAATATATCAGCACCAATGTAGTTAATTGATTGTATTTTACCGATATCAGTATTATTATTGTTACAGGAGGATGAAGCAACTTAACGAGTTTCTTATTTGATCTTAAATACTCTGCTGCATAGGATCGGAATATAGCACTAATTGTGCTTAGTTTAGCAGCATAACAGATTCGATCCTTGAGAACCTTTCTCATCCCCTTTTGGTTTTCTGAGACCTGTCTTCAATAACCTAACAAAACAGAAGCGAGGAAAACTGAAAGCTGTGCACTCTTAAGATGCAAAGGTAGTGTGGCTGCAGATTATAACGTTGACGTAGAAAAGTGTTTCCTTTGGGATACAATGTTTTGTCAAAACATAAACGTCGTCTAAAGGAAGCAAAGAAATTTTGGAGCGTTCATACGGCCCATGTAAAAGCACTTGGTTTCGAAATGGATTTCACCTTTACTCTAATCTGAAACACTCCTCACCTCTTCGTTTGTTTCAACGAAGTCGCGATATGAGCATTGTAGTAGTTGATAATCTGCAACTGAACCCAACGGTGTACACCTCTGCGACGTGATAGCGTGTTCCAGGGTGCAAAATCGCAATATTTGTCAGGTAGTTGGCCTCACAAGTGGAGTCTGTAGAGATGAGCAGTTCAAAAGTTCCACCCGGAAACAAATATTGGAATGAACCTCGACCATAGTATAGACTATCAAGTACTTCTGATGCGTGACGGCGACGAATCATCGTTTCACTGGTGTCTGTTCAAGTTAAATCTTATTCGACTGTTAGTGCGTGACAACTGGTACACAGTTTTAGTATTGTCTGCAAACAGAGATGAACTAATAGGGTGGAATTCAGGTATGGTGGATCACGAAATGCTACATCTTATCAGTGGTTGTAGTAGGAACATTTCATTGGCAGTGGTGACTAAGATGTCGCTATTCTTTAGAGTTCGAGTCACGAAATTGTAATGCACTATTAACGTCGGAAGTCTTGTTGGTACTGGAACAGCGACGAAAGGAGAATGAAGCAAAGGACGAGATTGACACCACGAGCGAAGTTAGTGACTACGTTTTTACTAAAATATATTTGGTTTCATATTCGTGTTTGAATAGTGCTGAAACGTGCATGATTACTGTTTCTAGGACTTATGGTACTGATTAATTAAACACTGTTTAGGTCTTCGTTAAGACTCTCGAATATGCGCGTCGTTTTTCTCAGTTCAAAACCCGCGAATCAATCAAAGCTGCACGCGCCATATTCTCTCAGAAACCGCTCCACAAGTTTGAAGTGGCTCAAATCATCAACCTATGTCCCGAAACAGCTGAGGAAGCCAAGGTTCTCTTTCAATTTCTCCTTCTTATTTTTACAGGTTATGTTTTGTTCCTATACAATGGTGGCTTTATAGGCACTCATTCCTTCACTGGAAAATAAACTTGAAGACGATGATCTTGCCGAAATCCTAAAGGATTTGCACACGAAGAAGACTTTTCAGTAGACAAGTTTTTTCAAACTGCGTGTTACCTCATTGTTAACGTATTATTCTTGTCTCTTTTACGCATATTGTGCAGTCATTTTATAGGGAACTGTGAAATATTGAATAAAATGGTCAAGTGTTACGAAATCTCTACTGGTTTTTCCTAATGTTTTCGGAATATTTTATAAGTTGACATTCCCGTTCTCCCTGACGGGTATTCGTTTATGCGGACGCTCTAATTTGTTGGCAGAAGTTCGCTAATTCGGTTAATGTATTTATTACTAGTTTATGATGTCATGTGAAACAAACAAAGGTCAATGGAGGATCCAGTTAGAAGGTTTACGTAGTGTTTATGATAGGTCCCACGTCTCGTTCAGTAATGGAATTTGCATTAATGTGAAAGTACTGTTCAAAATGGAATTACTCACAAGGCCTGTTACGGTGCATAGTACAATTGGAAATGTTGGGTTATTTTACGGTCTGCTTTTCTATCTTACTTTGTCAGTCTGCTCTTGTAAGCGTCATTTTTAGAGCCCTAGGGATTTCATCGGACTTTATTTCACTCGTTGGCTTTCTTTCTGATTTGAGTCATGCTATTTTCGACTTTTGAGCCTCACTTCGTGTATTGCTTAATTTGTTTCATGGAGCAAATCAGTATCTGAACGAGCTTTTCTTCTGCTCTTTTTGTTTAACTTCGCGTCAAAATGCCCCACACTGCAGCCTGAACTGCAACTAGAATGTGAATGGGTAAATGAAGAACTGCTAAGCATACTTCCTATGAGTAGTAACTGTAGAACTACGGTTTCTAGTGGATCGTACACTGTGCGTGCCAAGTTCATTCCAGATTTCTTAGTATATCCCATCTGCAGGTATCGATTCTTTCAGATATGATCCACAAACGTTAAACTTGACGAAGTTTGTAGTAAAAATCTCGGCATGGTAGTCCTAGCTTTTTGTTGTGAAAAAGTTTCCGAAATTATGAAAAGCACTCTTCGTGGTTTAACAAAGCTTTGCATCAGTGAAACCTCTGTGGAGTTAGAAATGTAGGGGCATTTAGGATTCTTCTTCGAACTTTTAGACACTTAAAGGATGAAACATGTGTGAGCCTCCTCTGTATGCCACATTGCTATTCCAGAACATAAAAGGTATTGAATTATTGCGACGTGTGGCCGGTTCCAGTGCCCAGATAGCAGATTTCCGATTCCAGTCCAGTTGCTGTGGTTTTAAGGTTAGTGACAGATGAGAACTCACTTTAAAAATGCAAAAACTATAGCTTTCCGTCTAGGACTGCTTCCAGAATAAGACAGGGAAGCAGTGTTGCTGTTCAGACCATATCATCATGTATTTTGCAAGGAATTCGTTGCTGCCTTCTTTTTCGAGATCCTTAACAATCAAGAGGTATGAGATTTTTCATAGTTTTTCCTTATGTATATATATTTTATTTTCCTTACTATAACTTTCCGTCGCGTGCGAGTCTTATACTGTGATCTGAAAAACAACTGCAGCTGCGGGTAGAGCTGATTAACTTTGCTTGCCACGTCCGCCCAACATGTAGGTGGTCGTCCTAGGGTACATTTGCATTCTCTTGGAGTCCACTCTACTGTTCTTTTCGTTCATCTGTCGTCTGTTCTTCTCATCTATGTTTCGTCATCGATGTATGTTCTCCTAGGTCTCGAAGATGTGACAGATTTCGAAGATCAGAGCTTCGCATTCAGACTAGATATTGAGAGTGCCGGCTATATTTCAGAAGACATCGCTCAAGCTCTGTGTGGGTAGTGCGAAGCATTCTTAACGTGGTTGAAGTATAAACCTACGTCTCTGCAGCATAATAGAGCGCTAGGAGGACCGTAGAATTGAAAAGAGGAGCGCGGATTTTCAGGTCCTTCAGCTAGTAGGTGACATCTTTGAAAGGCCGGAATGCGGCCCAAGCTGCTCTTCTTTTTCTGTCTAGTTCTTCTTTGTTATTTTCGTGTTCATTGATTGCCCGGAGTATACGTGCGAGGTGGTCGCTGTAATCAGTGAGCGATCCAATTAATTTTTTTCGCCTTCGCACATTGGGTTTTTATGAACTTGGTCTTTTTTTGATTTACGAGCTGTCCAATATTTTTTTCTGCTTCGTTGAGCTCGTTGATCATCACTTCTGCTTCGCTAGTACTTCATGGTAGGATGACAATGTCGTCGGAAAAACGAAGGTTTGATAGGAATGTTTCATCAATACGTGTGCCTTTTTCATCACAATCGAGTGACTTCATTGTTCACTGCAGTGCGGCACTGAACAGCTTCTTCAATGTCGTGTCACCTTGTAGACGCACTTTTCTTATGCGTATGGTAAAAGGTCGATGGAAAAGCTGTATTTTTGTAATGCAGTTTCGATAAGAGTCAGACAGGGTTCTTATGTAGGATGGAACTACTCCTTGGTCAACGAGCGCTGAAAGGATTGCATTCGTTTCGACAATGTCAAACACTGTTTCATGGTGTACAGTGAACAGGGAAAAAGAAGCCTAATTAGCGGTGATAAACCGTATAATTCTATATAATCCCGACTACTGTTTTTCTTAGACTATTATATGTTGGAAATAACGAAAAGGATGGTGAGATATGAGCAAAATTCGGAACCTCACTTGGGCTTCGAACACGCGATTATGTTTCTTGTGGCTCATGGTTCCTCACGTGGTATCCACCGCACCAACCGAGTCCATTGCTTTGCATTCCTTCAGTCACTTTTATCTTGTGATGCTATCAACAGTGACTCGTCAACGGTAACGATATGGGAGGCATAAATCGTCGTTGAGTCCACTTAGGCTAAAGTTGCGGTCAAAATCACAATGTTTTATCTTCTTAACGTAGGGTCTTCGTTGGTATGGTGGATAGCAGGTGAGACTTGTGTAAAGGTAGTGGCGTGATCGAAGCCAACCTGAAGTCCCAAGTTTCGCTCATATCTCAAAATTCTTGTGATTGCACTTCATATCTGCCTCTTCTACTTCTACTCTACTATTCATACTCTGCCAAGAAAGAACATAGGCTCTAAATAGGAGTTAAAACATGTTGAGAATAGTTTTCTCGGAAACTTCCTCCATACAACATCTGCGTGGAGGAAGTTGGTGTTATAATACAAAAGTTATCGTAGAAAAATTTGCCAACCCATCGGAAAGGAAATGAGTCATAACCTGTGTCGTTAGGTATAGCCTATGTACGACTCACCTATAGCTCATTTTGTCCAAGATGTGTTAAAGGAACTGATCAATTTCTATGATTAAAAAAGAAAAAAGAATTTAGCAAGACCATATCGTTTACTATTTGATTTGTACATGGTGGAAGTATTTTTCTATATGGAGTGATTTTTAATGCATTTTGTACTTTAACGCTTCTTATATTCTGAAAATTTCAGGCAGTCAATCAATTATTTCTAATCAAAGCGAATTAACTTTGAATAGTACACTCGCCAATATTCAATGACTAGAATTAGAGACTAGTCGGCTTCAAGACCGGCAAGATGTGTTGGTATACGAAAATTGTATTCCTATCTTCCAATAAACGCCTAGGGTTTCTCATGCATTTTCACTTTCAGTGAACCATCTCAGCCATACTGATGGAGGAACAAATGCGTAATGGTGAACACAGATGTCAGTTATTAGAGAAGAACATGGAGGAAATTTTTGTAAGCTAAGCTTTGAATGGTTTTTGTTTTAATGGTTAATTACTGCTTCGTGAAGGGCGGATAGCACATTGGTAGTGATGCCGATTATTACGAGGATGGTTCTGATTCGATCCCACTCCGGGTCCACTGATCCTCTTATCCCACGTGGTCGTCAGGTTGGTACCGGACTACTCTGCGAAAAATTCACTCTCAACATCTATGTGGTAGCGCTCTAGCTCGGATATCTCAGAGTTTCAGGAAAATCGACTTTGACATTTATTATGACAAGAAAATCCTCAAGCAATAACCGGAGCTACACTTAAAAAGTTGGAAGATCGTAGTGGATGATGGATGTAAGGAAATAATCGAATGTGAGAAGTACTGGGATCTGCATAGTAGATGTGAAAGAACGGTTGTATAAAATAAAAAAGGTGCTGTTGTATAACTTTGGGTTCGATTCAACAACAAATTTTAACGGTAAGATCATTCGCATATCAAATTTTTCGTAGTAAAAAATGTGTTTCTGTAGTGAACGGGGAAATAAGATAAATCTCACTTAGTTGTGTTTCCACCATTTCTGACTTTATTATGGTTTCGACACTTATTTTAGGCAGAATTGAACTCACTTTGATCAGCATGTGCTAGGAAGACGTTCGACATCACCGATTGCTCATCTCAGGATCGCGCAGCTGGAGTGATAAAACGAATAGTTTCGGTAAGGCTGGAGCGTTCTGTTTTACAATTTCTTCACATAATGTATACGTACATGTACTTGGATGACCTGTCCTCACTGATTCTGCGGGCCCCAGCATAATCTCCATTTCTTCGGAGATTTGCCGGCTTAGCTATTGTGGTTCCCTGGCATCCCCAAGTTAGCCTTGTTAAAGTTTGCCCCAAGTCACCACCACAGGCAGTCGCAGCCCTTGTGGATCGGAGGGAGATTTGCCACCATGCGTCTTTGATACCAGGATGGTAGTGGATCCTGGTATTGGTTTACTGTTGGCTGGGCTTCCTCATGGAAACGCCGGACTGCTTCTCACCTTGGGTGATCCTGCTGGAGGGTTGTATCCCCCGCTGTACTTCGCAATCTGACATCCAGCAACACCTCCTAGCCACGATTAGGCGGTAAACCGTTAAACCGTTAGGAAGACATACGTAGATGTAAATACATATATGTATATATAAATATACATATGCGTACATATATGCATATGTATATACATATTCATGTGTCGGGCGAGTGCAGCGTAATGGTTGGAAGTGCATTGTAATACACATGTAGTCGTTAGTTCAATTCTGCGTAGCGGGTTCATCTTGCCTTCAATATGTGCGAGTTTGGCAAATAACTACCAGACATTTGAAAAAGAATATAAATATATATATC